GGGGTAAATGAGTCATTGGAAGGTCCAGGATATAGGTGGGAACTTCTTCGCCAAGCACACGAAAAAAGAACCGAAACGCTCTTTCTAACCATTCCTCATCCCTGCAAAACGCGTCTCCCTTGCAGGGCTGCTCCCAAGCATTTCCCGGTAGCAGACATGAGGCTTCTGAACGGCCGCCAATCTCGGTACAAAGAGGGTGTGGATGGGGTGGATGTGACTATCATGTGACATCTATGGCCTATGGCAACTGCCTCATTTTCAGAGTCCCTTTTTCACATCAAAGACAACTCTCAAAGGTTACTGTGGCAAAACACATTTTGAGAGCACCGAAAAAGCCTGGGACTCGCGTGATCACCATACTGCTTCTGCTAGGAGCAGCCCTATCTTTGTGGTGAAAACCTCGGCATTCATTCATGCCCTCGCGAGCCATGTCCTGCAAAGCCAGGAGACCCGATCACAGAGTTCGTTCGTCGAGTCAATTCCCATGGAGACCACGTTTTGCGGATCCCGTTTGGCGAGTCTTTCCGTGGAGCTGGCAACAACTCTTTCATGGAGTCAATGGAGCCCCTTCTTCCGTTGGTTTTTGGGGAACATCAACATCTTGATTGAACATGACTGGCGCCATGTGAGTCCATTGAAGTTCTTGGGGTCTAGACACGTATTTCTTCAAGAAGAGCTACAATATTGCAAGATCCAGTGCTGTACACACGCGGTCAAAACAAACATGATCAAACATGGGTGCTTGTGCCAAGAACCAACAGTTCCAGAGTAGATTGACTGTCTTGCTTGTCCAATGGTTTTGACCTGTACTGGACGACTCTGAGTATCTCCAAGTCTAGAGTCTAGATATAACTTATAAAGTAAATACATGCACACACACACACACACGCAAACGTGTGCAGAATATCTGTTTCTCAAGCGTCTGTTCGTGGATCATTCGAGGCCTCTGTCAAAGCTGACCGATGACCTCCACCAGCCACTCAGCCTGAGACAAAACGAACAAACGAATGGAGAGTGGCTTCGGTTTTTGGGAGGAACCGTTTTTGTCGTTGAGGCATGGTAAAGACATCCCATCTACAGTGAGGGCTTGCTGTGCGCAGGCTTGAGCAGGGCTTGTACAGGGTGAGGGGTGTCAATTCTCCATGCGACCGATCCTCTGAAGCCGAACGTTGTCCTAAACGTTGGGGCGCCAACCCCCAAAAACAAATGAACCACATCTATCTATATTAATACAACATATATCATAATGTTGTATATATATATATTATTGTATAATATTGTATATACTCATATATGTAATATGTGAGGGTATCGGCTTTGGGTGGGTCCCTATCGGTCCTGCAGTGAAATCATGTTCAAAACACGATGTCCAGCCAAAAGACTTCTGCTTACTTTTGATCATTCTGTCGGGTATATACTATTATATACTCATATAATCTCACATATACCCAGACACTCCATGTCTGTCAAAAATGCCCACATCCACCCCTCTGGCACCACCCCAATGTAGGAAAAAACATATATATGCCACACATGGAGTGTCTGGGATATAACACCTTATATATATTATATATATGTTATATAAATATATATATATTATATATATAGTATTTATATAGTCACTTTTTGCTCCGGACCATCGGCTTCACCATACTTTCACCTCTTTTTCGTGTTTTTTTTCAGCTCTCACCTCCTGACGACACCACCCCCCGTAGTCCTGACTGGGCTCCCGGGCCCAGGAACTTCGCGGCATACGAGAGCAAAAAGGAGATCTGGGGGGCCGACAGAAACGGTTGGTTCGTTGAGTGGAGAGCCTTCTTAGGCCAGGTCAAGTGGTCGAGTGATTGATTGTTCGAACGTGCTTGTGTCTGGAGGCTGGGGCGGTGTTTTGTTTTGTGTTGTGGCCTGTTTGGTTGGCATGAGAACACAGCATTTGGGTGGTGCTTTGGAGTCCCTCCAATTTTCCAGGACAAGCACGATGGACCTCGTTCCACCCTGGCAAACATGGGCAAACCACCACTCGTGAATTCTCAACAATGTATACCCAAACGATGTTTCTTCAAGGGCCCAATGTGTGGTTCTTGGTTCAACAAGCCGTGTGACTCGGCCCCTAGGTTGCCGGGTTGGTGACGACCGTTACGTCGGTGACGACCGTTACGTGCCTTCGTCTCCGAAACCGGCCGTGTGTGGCGAGGCGAGTAGTGCTCGTACGGTCTGTGTGCGGTCGAGGCTTCTCTGACTATACAGTATACTATAGAGGGGAACCGGGAATTCTTCAGGATCGAATCAGATCCAAATGTGGAGTCCAGGTTGGATTTCGGAAGCACATGTAGCATCCAGTGGCTACCTAGTGATGAACCGATTCGAAACGACTCTAGTACTTGCGAGTTTTTCTTGAACTCCATCTCCCTTCTTCTTCGCTTCCAACTGCCTATCTCATCTCCAAGAGATGCCAAGAGGCTAAAGCGACCAGCAGGATGTGGAAAAGGTTATATGCCCCACCTGAGTGCTTCGTGGCACCACCAGGCTGCGCAGGCTTCTCCCCCACCACCCCACGAACGACGAGGACAACATATGACCACAGACATCCACAGACTACGCCTTGGACCCACATGGAACCTGAATACATCTGAGTACCACTGGTTTGTGGAGGGAGCGAGTCTCTTCCAGTCTGGTCCATGCCATCAGGTTCCATGTGGGTCTCTTCCTAGGTCCTAGCTGTACCCTCCAAATCCCCAAAATCGGCTCGCTCTATGCAACATGAAGCAGCTGGACCAGCTTTTCGGGTATCTTTTCCATTCTTTCTCTCTGGACCAGCCGGTCTTAACGTTTGAGGGACTGCAACTTATCAAACTTGGGCAACCGGCCGACCAGGATTGATAGAACATGAAGACATAGGGCAAATTGGTCATACTTTTGGCGGACAGTAGACAGCTTCTGGTCCAGTGCAGGTAATATCAGTACAGTGGCATCTTTTCTAATCTTTAATGTCTGGCGACGATGGGTCATCCAATGTAGAACAAGTTCATTACAATCTTTCAGGGCAAAGTGGGATCCAGCGGATCATAGGGAGATTCTAGATGGACCGCCTGAATCTGCTGACTGAGGGAAGAAACGTCGACTGGATCTGTCCAAACTGGACGTCTTTCGTCTCCGCATCGTCTTCGAGGAGTGGGGAAAGAGGGTGAAAGGGCAATGTTGAAGCTAGTGCATGGGGTGTTCTGGGGCTGTTCTAGTTGGAGCAGGTTCGAAGCTCACCAAGGTAAATCACAAATATGGAGCAAGTCCATGTCAAGGAAATGTGGAAACCACCCAAACTTTAGTTTGCTTAACTTTGCTGCACTCACTTTGGGTCTATCCTATTACCTGTAACAGTGGGTGATGATGGTTAGTAAGTTAGTAAAGGCCTTGTTCAAACATGATGATAATTGTTTACTGACTGTTACAGGTAGTAGGACAGACCCTACACTCACTGTTCTTGCCTTCAATCTTCAGAGAATAGTTCCAATCGTGTGAGACCTCAAAGTTCAACCATTGGTTCCCAAGGAGGCCCGGCCCTTGGATTTCTCATGTGGCTGAACTTCTGCCGAACCCAAACTGTTCAGCAGGCGAAGAAGCATTTCCACAGCTGTTCACTAGGTTTTGACTCGTCTCGTCTGCCCTCAAGGTTGCAGCTCTATATAATGTTTTTTGCACCACAACCCATGCATTCAGAGGCACTCTCGCTTGAGGAAAGCGTCTTTGAGCCTTTCAGCTCTTCTATCTCTGCCTGGTCCAATGGCACCGTCCGTGTGCCGTGCCCCAAAATGGGTTGTCTTCTGCGTTGGAGTGGTTTGAGAACACGCGCTGCGAAACATCCGCAGACCGGGAGAGTCGAGTTCTGGAAGGGTCGCCATCGCCAGAGAAGAGTCGTGCGCATCGGGTCCGCCAGACGTGACGGCTCCGCCAAACGCGACGGACGACTCAGCAGGGGTTGGTGTGGACACCCGAAAGAGCCAGCGATTCGGCGGGTGTAACCCGCAAAAAAGGTTGGATAAGCTCCCTATTGTTATACAGTAAGCTAAAAAAAAGGGTTGGAACTGGGTGGGGCCACACCGAGTTCCAAAGTGGGCCATCAGAGGTGAGAAATTGAACAAGTTAGCCCCAAGGTCGGCGGTTTACAGGGAACCCTGGGACCCTGTCTAAGACATCTTAGGGGTGTGGTTGTGCCATCGAACCTCTGGAACTGTAACTCCAATGGCATCAAAACCTTGGCTGCCCAGGCCCAGATCGCTTGGCGGCCTCTTTTTCTAGTGATCCTGGGTGCCTGGTGACTTTAGCTCGTGGTGGGGGGGGCAGCGAGTGCTGGCGGTGCTGGGTTTTCAGGCTTCCACCAAACATTACTAGTAGTAATGGCCTCCAACCTACTAGCGATGGCCTCCAACCTAATATTAGATAATATTACTAATAACCTAGTAGCTTTTTGTTACTAGTCCAAGCCGTTTCTTTCCTTATCGTGTCTGTTTGCTTTTCTCTCCGTCGTTTCCGTTTCGTGAAGCTTTAGCATCAAAACGAGGCTCGCAAAAACAGGACCGTGTTGACAGAATCTTGTTTGCAAACACGAACTGCAAAAGCAAAGCCTTCTTCCGCAGGCAAATTATCTATTCAAGTCTGCTTTGCTTCTTTAGAATCTGTTCATTACATCCAATGTTGGGTACACTTATTCATTATATTGATTCTGAGTCTGTAACATATCAAGTTGCGGTGCCAACCACCTGAGCCTTCTCATGCGCTCCCCTTGGGCACGAACCAATCAAGTTCAGTTCCCAGGAGTCAAGTCCCGAGTTGGGCCGTGGATGTGACGTGCGGGGCACCCCAACTCCTTCCGAACGGAACGGGAACCGGCACCCAATTCCCAGTGCTCTGTGACTGGGAACTTGGATTCATCTGGAGTTCATCGCCTCTATTGTAGCTCCTTAACTTGATCGCACAGCGCAACAAGGGCGAGATCTTGTCTGGAGCTTCTCACGCGAGCTGTGACTGACCCAGTTCACCTGAGCCTATTGAGTCTGACGATCTCGGAAACACAAGCAGGAAACAGTGGGTCAGAATTCACGGCGAACATGTAAATGTAAGAAGAACCGTCGGCACTTTCCACGGTTAGGCGAAACGAAGTGCCGATGCGAAACGAGGTCCTTCATCACCATGACCCACAACCACCTTCTCCGCGTGCCCCCTTTTGTAACACGAGGCGATCATGAAAAAGAACACACCCACGGAGAATGAAGCAACATGACACATGCAATTGGCGGTCAAAACCTGGGCCAGAATAGACTGAGGAGGTCAACTGACCGGGTTTGTCCACAGTCAATGAAATCTAATGTTTTGAGACTAGCGATTCTCATGCATCTCATGTGGAGACTGAGCCGAACAGCTAGCTCAACTAAGGCCTGAAAACGACCAGGGAGGCTGCATGATGAAACAAATAGAGCCAAACCATGGCACAACATGGCACACCGAAAAAGAGCACCTCCCTGTTTTCTCGGTTTCTTGGATGTGATGGCATGGCCCCTTTCTTTCGGACGAGCGAGCAAGCAGCTGTGTTCACCTCCACATATGATTATTTCAAGGAGTGTATCCCTGAGATGTGCTTGTCCCTTAATGAAGTAGGCGCCTACTCAATTTGCCCCTAGGCCCTAGTAGCTTCTTGTTACTAGCAGTAAGGCCAGGAGCTCCTAGTAGCGTTTCAACATGTGTCATCCTACTTGGATGCCATGATTCCCTGGCCAGGCGACACAAAATGATCCTTGGAGCTTGTCGCTGGGTCTCCGGTTCCCGGTGCCACCGAGACCATCTCAACAGTGGCGACGCACCGAAACACGAAAGCGCGCATGATACACATGGAAACACAGTGCCTCCAATTTCTTCTTCTGCTTCTCTAGCATGAGAGTGTACCTGGGCAGCGCTTCGAAAAGAAGCGCAGGATCAACAAGAATAGCTCCAAGTTGGGGAAGTCTGCCGGTTTGGGAGTTACAGTAATTAGGTTCTGCATGAAAGGCCTGGGCACTCTAAAGGGCTTTACACAATGTTGAACAGTTTTGCTTTCGGGGATGATATTGGTCTTACCCTCAGAGCTCCCTCGTTCTTTCTACCAGCTGGCAGTCCCTTGGACTTCGACGAAAAAACCGACCTCAGGATCTCCCGCAAGGCTCATCACGACTTGAGCGACTCTCGACTGCTTCTGTTTCTTTGTTTCACGACTTGTTGGTCATGCCCGGACCGGATGCCCTCAAGATCCCTTCGGAGAGTTAAGAACACATGGATGTGTTGGAACATGGATCCATGTATTATGCATGTCGAATATAATATAATTAATGTGTATGTACATGCACATAAAAATATGTATCTTACTCACCATAGTGTGCCAAACAAGGTGTTGATTCATCCGCCAAGAACTGGGCAAGGCCCCCACTGCACTAACTCATCATACTTCACCTGCAGGTCCGCAGGAGCCTCCCGCCGCTGACAGCACGACAGCACTGAGTGGGTGGGTGAGGTGGAGGTTAAAGGATTCGATTGGAGTGGAGAGGAAATGCAAATTGGAGGAAGATTTCTGGAATGTGGCCGCACCGGTGCAACTTCAAGAGTTTCTTTGCAGACCGAAGGATCGAAGACCTGGGCAGGATCCTCTCGGCTATAACGAGAATTTGAACTGTTGAAACACCTATACGGATGATCACCTCAGTATTTCTCAGCCCTCACTGAAGTGCTCTGGGACGCTTTGCACCCACTTGCCAACTATATACACATCCATACACATTCTATAGCCCCGAATTCTTTTTGGTCTGGCCGCTCTGGCCTCCCTGAAAAGTCCACCATGATCCTATCAGAAGAGTCCACCCTTCAAACCAACACCCTCAACAAAACCCTTCAAACCAGGGCTCCTGGCATCGCTACGAACGGAGCGATCGGACGCGACGTTCGGGGCTCCTGGCCGTAGTCTACGAACGGAACCTAACCTCGCTATACGTTCGGAGCTCCGAGCATCGCGGACGAACGGAAGAAGCTACGAACGGAACTCCCTCAACAAATCCCTTCAAACAAGGCAACCGTTGGCCGTTTTGGCCTCCCCGGCCGCTCTGGCATCGGACACAGGTCCAGACCTGGCGACGCAGAAGGGAGCGGACGAACCACGGACGAGTCCACCTCCCCAATCCGAGGCCAAGCATGGCAAATCACTATTAATACCAGTAAGGAACCAGGGTTTCTAATTGGGTCTATAGTTTTGTGGAACCACTGGTTCCCAGCTATAGTGGTAACTGGATGCCCTGGGCTCGTAGCGGAAGGTCCTCTGTTGCGCGCTCGCTGTGGCAGCTGCACATCACCACAGAAGAAAACACCACATCAAAAGTGCATCCTAAGCTCTATTTTTGGACGATCTACTCATTTATCGTGGGTTTGCTCACACAAGGTTCAAGCAAACAATAGCAAACCTGCCACATTCTTGACTAATGTCGTTTGGGAACAGCTCAAGACATCGCAGTTTGAGTACGGACAACTCGTGACACCGAGACGACCGAGCGGTGTGACCACGACGGTGTGACCGAGCGGTCCAGCTCGCCGGAAACGCCCGGCGTGATGCGCCGGCGCGACGCCCGGAAGCGGCCCCGGGGCCCCGCGCCCGAAACCGAAGTTCTCGTGAGTCCCCGCAGGTTCGGACTCGAATTCCTGGGGAGGAACGGATGAAAGGCAGTTGTGACGTCACACTGCTGGTTTTCACAGAGTTCACCGAGGTTGACCAAGGTTGACCAAGAGACGTGGGTCATGAAGGATTTGATGATTTGACCATATTTGACCCCAAAAATGGGTTTTGATATGGCTCTAGACGCTGGGCCCCATCCTTCACCTCCGTGAACGGCCGCCTGAGGGCCTCCTCTGTTTCGGTCCCCATGATCATGACTGCTCAGCACCGGTGTGGAAGGCATCCCCTTGGAAGACGGTTTTTTTCATGTTTTGTCGAATACCAAACAGGTGGTGAACTCCACGAAACCATTATGATTTCAGGGAGGAAGTCACTGCGTCTTCGCAGCTTGCTGCTGGACCCTCTACCGATGATTCCAGGGAGTGTATTCGGATCGGTATGGCCAGCTGGTTCGTGGTGGTTCACTGCTCCTCACGAAGAACCATGAAATTCGACCGGCGAGCCAGGGTCAAAAATAGTCGGTTTTCGTGGCCCACAATCCCCCTTTTTCGGCTGACAAGGGCGCCTGTGCCAACAAACACACTCCAGACCGCTCACGGCCAACGGGGTTTGCAGAAAGGTCAATTCGCTATACTCCAACTGATCCACACATATCCCTTGTGATATTTTATATTTGGGGGCCAAGTGACCCCTGAAAATCGTGCTTCTGGTGTAACAACCCTTTGGAACAACAAGGAGGAACGCCCAGAAAACATGAGCCCCAAACGTGCTCTCGTCTGCCGGTCATGTTCACCAACGAGCGCATGGTCTCCATACGCCCACGACGCCGCGGCGACGCGACGACGCACACGGTCGATCGCGCCGTTGATCGATCGCGCGAAAACAAAAAGATAAAAATATAGACACAAAAAACATTAACTCTAGGGCTCCAAGTATCTCCTCAGAAGGTATTTGGACCTTCTGAACCCACCCCAAACACCTTCTTAGAAGGTACTTGGAGCCCTAGGGCAATTCAACAAATGCAATAAACCTCACATGATTCTGCGGTAGACCCCACCTGTGAACCCTTCGTGCTGAGGGCGCACCCCTCCACCTCACCCCGCAGCGCCGCTGCGAAGACGTTCGACCATCGAAACTGGGGCGGTCCAACCGCACCTCGAGGACGACGTTTAGACGCTGCTCTTCGATCTGCTCCTTCTTGAATTGGCTCCACTCTTCTCGATCTCAGTGTTTCCAACGCATGACGTCGGTGGCACTCACTTCGATGACGCGTTTCTCTCAACGGGCCGTTGAGTGAAGACGCAACATGGAGAGACCTATACGGCATAGCCAGAGTCCAGAGGATCCCCTCAAAGACTGTGTCAGGAACCAGGGGTTCGTTATGGTTCGTTGGGTTTATGGTTGAAGTCTTTGGAACCACTGGTTATCCCATGTTATCCCTACTAGACTATATCCTACCACTGGTTATCCTTACATGTCCCTAATTACTAGTCTATAACTTATCCTAATATCCTAATTCTAATGGTGGTGGTTTGCCAAAATTTGCCCGGATCCACTGGGATAGTCATCGATCCAGTCGTCCAGATCTCGGACGTCCTTTGCACCGAGGCCGCCCTTTCCCCACAGACCGAGAGCCGCCAAGCGCTCCATTGCATCTCTTAAAACATGTCGCAGCAGAACTACTTTGCTGCAAAACTATAGGGCAACACTCATGATCAAAAGCAAACAACGCTGTCTCACGATATGTCAACTCCTACAAGTGAGAATCGAATCTGATATCCTCAATTTCAACATCTAGGATCATGTTGAGCCCGCTTCAACGTTTGAAGAACCCTTGATTCGGACGTCTTCAGTTGGTACACCCCTTGCTACGGACCTCCTGTCATCGGCGATGGCGATCCCCCAGTAGTGGACGGTGTCCTCTATAGATCAGAAAGGTTTACGCCAAGGTGTACCGTTGTAAATCCGCAGTGAGGCAATTACCTCAGCCTCTCGAGAATCCCCCAAAGAGCTACTGTCACTGATCAGAGTGAGAGGCTGTAGTCCTCAAGCCTTCTCTCATCTTCCTCTCCTCTCATTCCTCCTTCCGGGGCCCCATGCTGACGGGCTGTGATGAATTGACTTGAACCGCCTGGCCGGCATCGACCGCCACCGAAGCAAGCCGCACCGTCTTGAGCGTTCCCCGCGCGTCTTCGGTGAAGGCAATTGGACCGTGGAGTTCGGGCGGTTTGAGCGTCCGGATCGGTGTCTTTTTGGTGACAAACATCGTGGAAGGCACCGGTGAAGGATCGTCGGGAATATATAATGCTGGATGTGATAACTTCATGTCACCTGGAAGGTAAGACCATCTCAGAGGTGGTGATGGTGAACTCCAGGGGTTTTTTCCACTTCCGTCATGAAAAGGGTGTAGAAGATGAAACGTGGAGGAAAGCACTGCTCAAAGGACCAGGGAACAGGACCACTTCTGGGAACTATACTTGTGCCCAGGCAGGTTTGGATATTCCAAGCTGCTAAGGCTAAGTATTGCTAAGTTCTGACCTTTTGATGGGATGGCTTTGGCCTTGGCTGATGGAGGTCTAGCAATCCTGTGAAAACAGGAGCGCACTTCAAGTGCACTCTTCCTGGCGTAGCACAACTTGATGCAGCGTCCTTTTCTGGAAAAGGCCTATACTATACATGCATGTGCCTGTGCCTCAAAAAACACGCGCTGAGACTGTTCGCAAACACAACGATCGCATGCAAGAACCTTCTATATACTCGCTGGGATTTCAATCCATCCAGCTGATCATCAACGAGTGGACAGATCCCAAACCACCCGCACTCTACTCTAACTCTTCCTGCCTGAACCAAGAAACGGTGGTTCTGGCCTTCTCCCGGTGGCCTCGAAAGCGTGCCCGGTGGCAAGAAACTCAAAGCAACAAGGAAGGCCCCGTCCCACATTTTTTGTAAGAACAAGCAACCCAGAAAACAAGCACCTCTACTAGAGAAGGAACCCCCACAGGAAACAACGTGAAGCAGCATCTCTTCCCTTTCTGAAGGATGAATCAAAAGAGAAAATGAGATCATGAGAAGCTAACCTAGAGCTTCTGGGCAATTGCAAAACAATCTGAGTCTGTATGACCTCCAGCGCATGCCTGGGGCTTTCCTGGTCCCAACCTCTTATCACCTCGAGATGTTCCTGGCCCCAACAAAAACCATCGCCACGCCCAAATACCATCCCTGGATTCCTTTCCGCCACTGACTCACACCATCAATTCTCGGTGGGAACACCTAGGGTCACCAGAGTCCCCGCGCTGCAGGATGATGGTGACCTCCTCTCTGCTGTGAGGCCTGGTGTGGAGCCGAACCGCCCGGGTCCGGGACCCGGCAGCCGGACGCGGCGTGTGGAGGGCGACCGAAAAAGACAAGCCCAGAGATGCTCTCAGAGGCTAGCAGAGTCGGATCGGAACTCATTTTCGAAGTCAATTTCCCAAACCCAGAGACTCATTCCCAGACCATCCACGTATGGAATAGTTGCCTACATTGGGGTCTTAAATGGAGTTGGACCTCGAACACGATTCCAACATGTATGAGGGTCCATGAGCGTCTGGGAAAAGAACCGTCCATGTGAATCTGGATGTGGCAGCCATGTCGGAAGTAGTCTGAAGTCTCCGCGAAGACTCAAGAGAAAACACACATTCTATCCATCTATCTATCTAATAAACACACCAATTGAGCTACAAGAAAGACTTTTGAATCACCCCCCTTCAACATCCTTAACTTCAAAAGCTCCTACCATCTCCAAACCACCTGATCTCCCTGTACAAGAAGGAAGGGCTTAACATGCTCGCCATGGAGAACCTTTGAAGCAAGGTTCTCGAATTTTTCAGCACCTTTCGTCAACGATTCTCACATCTACACATCTACCTGGACCTTCTTTCGGGGTGTCCAATGGAGGTCCCTTAGTGGTGTGCTGGGGCGAAACCAGCCAGGTGACCCCGACATGAAGGTGCTGGTACACATCTCAGTTTGTGCCTTGCCAAACTTCATCAGGCTTTATCACGCATTGCTTGCCTTCCGTCTCCCATCCCCGAGCGCTGCATCGTCGCCGGTCGTCGCCGAGGAGCCCCAGGGTCGCAGCGCTCGGCCGGACCAGGTAGGACTTCGGGGCCGTGGTCTTCACCTGCGCGGCGAGGCACGGCGAAGAGATGGTCCGGAGGTGTCGGTGTAGGTATAGCAAAAATGGATGAAATCAGGATGTCTATGGATTTCCCAATGGCTTTTGGAAGAAAATGAATGGTAGTCAGTAGGGATGAGGAATGAATTCCATATTGAGCCGTAGCGGGAAGCTTTCATTACCTCTGCTGGAAACATGAACGGTTGGCATGAGTGATTGGCGGTTGGGTCTGGTTCACGACACGCAGCAACGATTACTGTTGAGAGGGCATACTCCTGCAACAAAAACATGCATTGCCACAAACTTCCCGGTCTTCCGGGGAAATCCAAACCGCTTGACTGTGAAAGATGTTCCGTCGTTCTCGTGCGGGTGGTCTGAACTCCAAAAAAAACTCAGAGAAACCACATGAACCACACTTGTGTGTCTCGTTCTTCAATCAGAAGAACAGAAACAAACCTGGACAGAGGTGTCCGACTCAAGTGTTAGCCATCTCAACCTCATCTGAGATGCTTTCAACTCCCCAAAAGTATGAGTCAGTGGGTTCAATCATCCCATATATTGATCGATCTGTCGACCCTGGACCCTTGGATCCTTGGATCGGCCCTCGAATTCGTGACAAGGAAAACGCCTTCCAAGTAAAGCTTAAACATCTCCGATCTCCGAAACCAACGGGAAGAGCCCCTGAAAAAAAAGAACACAGAAAGCTCGAAGGAATGCCGGCTGGAGAGCTCCAGAAAGCTTCAGAGGATGAATCGTCAAAGCACCCGTGGTGATTTATAGAGCAGGCCATTGAGCTAAATGGAGCCTTTGATGGCCTTTGTCAGGTCTTTGGCATTTGAGCCAGTTCTGGCATGTTCTGGCGGGGCACATCTCATTACATCTCCACATCGCACGGTTCGCCCAAACCGGGGAAGCCACATCGGGTTCGGCCAGAAGTTGGGTCTCACAGGACCCGAAAGGCCAGGGCTCAGGGTGTTTTGGCTCCAAAGGCTCCAGGCTCCACAGGCTCCACAGGTTCGCAACTCGTTGGTTCATCCATGGCATCCATCGACCCGACCGAAACCCGACCCGAACCGAGCCAATGGAGACCGGTATATTAGTGTAGTGGTGCCCAAATAGATCGCCGCACGGCTTCCAATACATGTTGGATGTTACTTTTCTATATCTTATTCCAATGATTCAGGGCTTGCGTCCAACTGCCGAACAGGGGCCCCACAACAGGAAGGCAAAGGGGCAAGGAACCAGGAGAAAGTCTCTCTCTCTCTCTCTCTTTTCTTTATTTTTCTATTTTCTATATTTTTCTCTTCCTCTTTCCATGGCTCTTGCTATTTTTTCTGCAAGCAAAGGCAAAAGCTGCTAATAATGCAAGGCCACTCCGGCAGCATACATCGCACCATGGGACTTTGAAAGCCACAACATATACCAAAAGCATTAAAAAAAAACAGTGGAAATCCAAAACACGTTGTAAATTACGACGACTTCTTGGGTCGGCGGCAGGGGGAAACCAGCTATTGCTGTTGTCGTGGTCGTTGCTGTTGTTGTGGCTGCGGTTGCGGTTGCGGTTGCGGCTGCTGCTGCTGCTGCCGTTTTATTTTGTTTGTTGTTGTTGCTGTTGTGGTTGTTAGCTATGTCAGGCCATCTTGGGGCTATGTTAGGTATGTTAAGTCTTTCTCTTCCTCTGTCTCTTCCTGTTTCCCTTCCCAAGCAAAAGACAAAGTGCTAACAGTGCAAGTCAACTCGGGCAGCATATCTCGCACCACTGGCCATTGAAAACAGCTATGTTGATGCTATCTGGGTACCCTCATTTTCTGTTCGATGTATGTTATTTTTTCGTAAAAAACATGGGGTGCCAGGGGGGTGGAGCATGGTCGGCGGCAGGCGGCACCCTTGTAGGTACAGGCCTAACGGCCTTTGACTTGGAAGGAGACGACAGGGGGATTTGTCCGGATTTGGGGGTCTGTTCCGGTTGTTGATTTGGTCCATTCATCTCCCATGTGTCCAGCACTGCAAGGTCTTTTCACCACCGTCTCGCAGGCCTTGAAGGCGACATAACCGCTGGTCTTGTTGATCAGCATGAGTTTCCTGCGGAGCAGATCCAAGCGGAAGGCGCGGAAGCGCGTATCGCCAGTGGCAGACAATTACGAGGGAATTTGGCTAACATCATTGGAAGGCCAAACTTAAACCTTCATAAACCAACCTTCTGTCTTTCACACCCTAAACGATAAACCTGCCCATAAAGACACCAGGTGAGCAACAAGAAGCTGCTTTCTTAGACCCACATAGACCCACGATATCCTGCTAGCCTCCTAGGAATGAACATCTTTCTACAAGAGACCGGTCGGACTGACGTGGTGAATTTCGACTGCTCCGCTCGGTGAAGATGTGCACTGCCGAAGTGTCCATCTTCTTCGGCAAAAGCGAGGAAAAGCTCTCAACATTATGGTCATGGCAATGGTCAACAACATTCCACATTCATAGAATGGCAATGGTAGACAGTCATGGCAATGGTCATGGCAAATGTCAATAACATTCCACATTCATCGGCCAGGAAGTATCCGGATACTTCGTGTACGTGGCAATTTTGCTTGACAATCCCCCAAAAAGTAGGGATGATTTGTGCCAATGCACCCCCGCCAGGACCTAAAATAGAACAAATCAGGAAGTTGGCAGTCCTCTTGACAGGAAGGTGCCTTTAGTTCAATAGTGCTTAGAACTGGATCCCTAGGAGAGGATCAATACATATACCCTAGGCTTCCAACCACCATTATTTTAATAGGCTTTACCGAACCAACTAAGGATTTTACACTACAAACACCAGGTCAACCATTCTTTTAATGGTCTTGGCCCTCTTGGCAGTCTAGGGTATATTTATATATATAAATCCAATTGTCTGGTTCCTTGTCATCTACAACCTCACCCGGTGACGGGAATCGAATCCGGGATCTCTCGACCGAGGCATGCCAGACCGAAAACTGAAGTCCGCCAAGTCAACCGGATGGTCTCATCACCTCACCCTGGGCCCTCGCCTATTGGGCGACGTATTCGTTGGCGTCTTACCTCGGCATCCGAGGCCGATGTCGTTCGGGGTTTTAAGCGGTGAGCACCGATGTCGTTCGAGCCAGTGTGGAGGTGTGTGGTGACGATGTCTGCCCAGAACCACCTGTTAAGGGTCCAATAGGGTCCACCTGTTGGAAGGGTTCTGGTGGAGATCCTCCTGCTTAAGCTTCATCGTTTTCTGGGATTTGGGAGGAAACTGCCAACAGGCGCATCACTTTTTTGTGAACCACACCTACGGTTTCAGGCCTCTCGCAACCTGCTTCATCTGCTTCATCTGATTCGCCTTCAGGTGACTCACTCGCCCACGTGACTCACCCACCGGAAGAGAGCGCAGATTGTCGCAGCCCCCGCGACACGGAGTGAAAGGAATCAATTCTGGGCAACATGAGATTCTGTACTCCGAATGCCTCTTGTTTTTGTTCTTGAACCTCTTCTTGATCAGCAAGATCAACACATATTGACAACCACAACCCTGTGATTCAATGTTAGTGTCAGGACTTTGTCCCCCTATGACCCTTGTGCTATTCAATTCTCTTGTGTGAGTCTATTGAGTTGACGCTAGTTCAAGTTAAAGCCTAAATACCATCCATTCGTGTTGCTTCAAAAAGGATACCCTTTAAAACAACACAAGTTACGCACCAGCTGAGCACGCCCGGCAGAAATGCAACGTCGTCGCTGGCTCCAACTCCAGCAGGTTCATAGGCATCTTGCCTGGAATTGGAATTCGAGCCAAGTACTGACAGGGAAGTGGGAATGCCCGAAGGTTGGTGGATCTGGTCACCGGATGAGGTCTTCCCCCTTATAATCTAAACAATTGTTCTTCTTAGCATTTCTATAAGTTCTTGTGTTGGTACGGAAAATGAGTCGGATCAAGCCACCTCCTCTCAATGCATCGAAGCCGAACCCCGCACCTTCCCTTTACCGAACTTCCGTGTGCTGGATGAGGTCGAAGAGGGTAATGGCAGTCTTGATGCTTCGAAGGCGAAGATGTGTTCCCAAACTGGTTGAACACGAGTGAACGGAAGTGATGAAAATGCCAACGTCAGGTCACAAATCCGTGCTTTTGCCAGAATACCGCATGCCTTCGGGCCCCTCATCTACCCGGTTTGACGACTTGTCAACAGATCTGCAATCTGCAGTCTTTTGCAGTCTGCCAAAGACTCGCGTGTAGGAACAGTGATCCCACTATACCCTCCCGGAAACCATGGAATTCTGCAAATCAAGGTGTAGCATCTTGCGATTGGAGATGATTGGAGTGTAGCGCCAGACCCCCGCTGCTCCGCGCGATCCGCGATGCTCCGCGACGCGACGTGCGCGTCGCGGAGCCCAAGTTCAGGACCTGTGAGATTCTTTGAGCTCGCCCCCCACCGGAACCGACCTGGTCCACAGATGCGGCGGATCAGGACTTCCGCGGGAGAACACACACACGACTTTCGCCGCGTCGGACAGCGTCACCCGCGACGGAACCGACGCGACGGGATTTCTTTGGATTCACTGAATCGTCACAGTGACGATTGGTCCACGCCAACGCGGTCGATTCGGTCATCCCGCGGCGGTCTATATGAGTACCAGGATGCACCATCCACCCCCACCAATCAACTGCGGATCATAAGTCAATGACGGGTCAAATGGGCTATTTTTCCATCCAGTGAATCCAGCAAACCATGAGTAACTGGTGGTTCCAAAGACTAAACACCATTTTATTGAGGGCCCCTGGTTCCTCATCTTGTAGCTGGCTGGGATCCACTGGTTGACAATTTCAGGGTTTACAAGTCTGAAATCGGTGGACTCGACGGCAGGATCTCCCCAGTTGCACCACGGCATCATCCCCACTCAAAGGGCTGAATTGTGTTCAGGGTGTTCATATGTGGGCTTTTTTAAACAATCATATCATATTTTTTTATTACTATATCATGCAAACTGAAAGAGCAAACGGCCTCTGTTTCAACATGTGGCTTTTGTCTCAACATGAGATTTTCATAGATTTTCCATGAGGGCAGTCCCTCAAACTCTCCGTGGTACGAAAAGAGAACAACACCCCTGCAGACACGTCTAGTGAGTCCTCTTACGGCGGTTGGGGTGGACTCCACGTTTTCCACCATCCACTGCGATGGTTTCACTGAAGGTTTTATCGCCAACAAAACGCGCCTACCTATTGATCGACATCAGCCGACCAAAACTCCCTACCAGTAGCTGTTCACATCCAACCGCTGAGCTCCCGTAGACACCGAGGCCCCCAACTTCAACGGCCTTGTACACAGCACAGCTGCACCGTCGGTGTCCGCCCCCGCCACGGCGCCCGGGTTGGATCGATGACAGGCGGCGGGAGGACGGCGGGATCAGCGACAGGCCGTGGGGTGATCCGCAGAGGGAGCGCAAGGGGTGGAAAAGCACCGGTTTTGGGGCATGTTCTCGGGCGTTCGGCCCGGATGATGCCATCTGCCCGGGCCGCTTTTTTCAGGCTACTTACTACAGCTGTACCAGCTGAATCAACCATGGACCATGGACATGGATCGTGGTCGAGTCTGCTAAGCGCGCAGCTCTTGGGCTCGTGGCGCACTTCAAGCACTGCTGGACCCCACTGGACCATATGGGTGCAATGTAGCTCAAATCGGGAGACCCCCTGGCCCTATGGGTTTGAGTCTAAGTTACTTCCTCCAGAGGGTTGTTGCCTGGGAGGTCTCCTTCTTTTCATACACATCCACATGAGATTTCATGATTCGAAGATCCAAATATGTAGGAGCTTCATGGAGCTTCCAGCCAGGTAACCTCGAACGGAAGGGGCTGGAAGATTCACTGTTGGAAGTCGGGGTTGGAGCTGGACTGAACAGGCACTGTGTAGACTCCCTGAAACAATGCACATCTTGGTGGACGTCTTTTCACTTCTGCAACTTCTCTCCACATCCTTCTCCACGCCTTGTACGGAAGGTCGAAACTTGAAAAAACAACACAGAAGATGCAGGTCGTGCCTCGCGTTGTTTGGACTGAATGTCGTACCTCGTGCTTCTAGTCTTCAATAAAGTTTGGATCGTTCATCTGCCTGAAAAGAGACACCGTTCATGGTCCATCCGCTATTAGCACGAAGCTAGGATCACGTTTGACATCCTTTTCGAGGTAGATCCTTCAATATGGCTGTGTATCAAAATAGGGAGACCTCCCAGTTCGACCCCTGGAATAAGGGAACTCAACCAGTCAACCCCATTGGTTGGGGTCCGCCTAAACCCGGAAAACCCCCGGTTCAAAGACTAATGCAGCATCCTACAGCCTACTGCCATCTGTCGAACTGCCTTGACACCAGCATCTAGTTGACTTATGACACTTATGACTCATGACACTTATGACATCTTATGACTTATGACTCTATGACATTCTACAGGACTTTTCACGCTCTTCCAACTTGCTCAACTGGTTCCGACCGCGGCGACTTTGGCCGGTCGACGGGGCAACGGCCCAGAGAGTGCCCAGTGGTCGCAGGTGGTCGCAGGTGGTCGCAGGTGCGATGGTGCCATGAATGGATTTCATCTGGCCCCACAAAAGCATATCAGGATGTACCATGATGTCTCCCATCTAGATTGCTAGTGATGAACTGCCTCCGAAAGCCGGCGATGGTTCATTATGTTCATTACGGTTCTCGAGGATCTCTTTACGACTTCCCAGTCTAAGCCTGGAAGTGGACGGGTCGTGGAGGACCCCGAATGAACAGCCAAACGACGTCCCAAACGAACCGCTTGGGCACGTTTTGAGAAACTTGCTGGAGCGAGGTTGGTCGAAAAACGCAAGTTTCTTCTGCTGGTGGCCATGCAAAAAAACACAAAGAATGGTGGGCCAATGCTTGTGAGTGCGAGACTTGCATGGTTTCAGTGTCCTGGGCGCTTTTCTGGCGGCAGGTGTGAGACAGATGGCTTGATGTCTAGGGGACTTTGCCCTAGAGCAAACAGTTTTCATCTTTGGAGTCCCCTTGAAGCATTTCTCCGCTTCGATTCACCAAACCATGTAGAAAATATGTAAACTAACATAAAGTAAGAAGGGTTGCACATGATTGCAAAAGGAATGTGAGGATGACATTAAATTCATCAAACGTCCCTGCATTGCTTTTTCGATTGTGTTGCAAGGAATCGCCCAGACACGGACTCTATAACCCCCCCCCCACAGAAATGGGTGATATCAGAGCCTGGATCTTCCGATGCCGGACATGGAACCCAAAGTGCAGTGACTTGATGTGTTGTACACACAAATCATATCAAATCATCATAGTTGGGTTCCATGTGGAGTTCACCACCTCTTTGGTACCGTTTTTGGACAACCTCATGGTCCTCCGAGTCTTCGGGGGGCCATTTTCCCATCCACGTAACCACCACCACCATGAAGACCCACCCAGGGAGTGTCAACGACTGCAGCGGTCGACACTGTCGACCAGGGACGTTGAGTCCTCCGCTCGGTGTCAAAGGCCCCAAGGACAACGATTTCCCAAAAGAGGTTGCCACCTTTTTGCAGTTGCTGAGGGGTGTACTGACAAGACTGGGCTCGTTTTCCCCAAACAGTTGTGCTCTATATCCCCGATTGAGCGATCTCCATCTCAGATGCTTCCGGAGACTCCTTCCATGCGTCGGTTCAGCTCTCTGTACAACCTGCCACTGCCGGGAGGAAGGAGATTGTGGTCATGTTCTTTTTTGTTTTAATCATTTCTACGCGATGCTTTTGTTGAACATCTAGCCAACAACTTCTATTCATGTAGGAAAACACATCCTTTGTTTCTGTAGATGTTTGATCAACTCTATGATTCTATATAATTATGATACAAGGGGTTTAGGAGGGTGCTCTATAGCTTTGACACATTTGGGGCGTGTGGTGGTTCTAAGCTGCCATCAGCGTAGCACCTCTCCACTAGCCCGACACTTTGTTTTCTCAGCCGTTGCGCCGACCTATCCGAAAGAGGAGTTGGCGCAGCCAAGAGTCTGGAAGAGAGAATTCTCATGAATTCTCTATTTACGGCTGCCGCGTTTGTCTTCTACACACGTTTGTCTTCAAAATGTGTTCTGATTGTCAGAGTTTCAACGAATATGCTTGTATACTTTTCAGCGGGGACACTTGCCGCTTGCTATGACACAAAAAATGGATACCACACACAAAAAGAACAGGGGTAAATATGGGTAAATGTTGGAAAGATGGAGACTTCTTGTTTCTTTGGAAGCTTCTGTTCTTCAGCGACACCCACTTCGCCTGTCGAGCTCCTCCTCTGCTTGCGCCACCTCATCGGGGGAGCCGTCTGCGTCTGCCAAAGGCTTCAACACTGGAACGCCTCGGTTGAAGCCAACACGACGATCCAAAGCCCTCCAGACGACCCACTGATTTAAGGCGACTTCCGGTGCCCACCCTGGACCCGGAAACTGATTTTATAGACATGTTTCGACCACAAATAACACATGTCAAACACGGTCGTTTTGGGCGAACGGAAGGTGACAAAAAAAAAGGTACGTACTTCCTGTGGAAGGTCATCAGCCTCACCTTTGGCTGACCTGACCCGACTCGGAGGCATTTTGGGCCACGGAGTGCCACATACCTTTTCGGCCAGAGAGACGCGTGGACCGTAGTTACAAGCCATGAGGGTTTGCTGGAAAATGAAAGGAAGCAGCTGAGTAATTAGATGTGCTCAAACCATTGAAACCAGGTGAAGTCTTTGGAGGGCCGCTCAAAACGCATACCGAGTACCAGCAATAAGTTCGATCTTTGATGATATTCGCTTCCTTTCACTGGCCTACAGTAATCTTTTTGGAGTTGCTCGTTTTGGCATTTCTGGAATGGATCATGGATGAGCTCCGCATTCACACCCATTCACTGGCCCCAAAAGCAGAAATGGCATTCCATCCATTCACCAGCCATGTTTTTGAACGCCGCTCATGGAGCCTCATGGAACTGGGCATTTGCAAACATGTGTCCAGCCGGAGCCTCGTCGTATCCCGGACGAAGGAAGGTCTTTCGGTCTTCCCGGTCGCGGTTTCGGATCGGAGAAACACACCGATCGGTGAACCGAAGAACGTTCCACCCGTGCAAAGCTCCAGGGCATCGCTACTAGTACGAACGGGGCGACCATGACATCGCGACGAAGGGACGGAGCGAGCGATCGGACGCGTCGAAAGTCGGAACGGGGCTCCTGGCCTTACTAACCACCCATGCGATGGCCCAATGACCGACAGATCACAGACGCACAAAAACACGTACTGCATCTTTCGCGTACAAATGGCGTCCACAGGACGAGCAAAGTGACTGTTCCCAAACTTCCCACCTGTTTGTTTTTTGTTCTTCGGGGGAAACAAGCAAGGTCGGCTGCATAATTCGGTGAACATGAGGTTCCGAATAATTAAAAGTAGACCAGTAGACCCTTGATGAAGGGGAGGGTTGTATTGGTTTAATCCATCAAGAATCTATACATTATTCACAAGAAAGAAACTAGGGTACCAGAGCATAGGGGTTGAGACACATAAAGGCCTGCAAAACATGATTGGATTTAAAAGACAAAAAAAGACATAAAAAGACAGGCAAAGACAACAAAAGACAACAAAAGACAGACAAAGACAACACACATAAAAGCAAAGACCAACCAAGACATGTTGGGCACGCAGCCAACATCAACTGCACAGACCACCCAAGACATGTTAGGCACGCAGCCAACATCAACTGCACAGACCACCCAAGACATGTTAGGCACAAAGCCAACCACAGTCAACATCTTTTGCTGTGGAGCATTGGCATCATCCTGTCTCAAGTATAAACATGGCACACACATGCCATGCTATCAAATGTTCAAATCATTTGCCGCTCCACATTTGACATTAGACATTTGAAATTTGACTGATGTACCTGCCAAGCATGAGCAAACATACAAGGATTACTGTGAGTCAGCAACACAGACACATCTCACTCACTGAGGCCACGCCTTTGCAAGACCTGGCAAACTATGAGTAGACTACAATAGTACTCACAAAAAGTCCTGCTGCAATCATGAAATGCTCTAAGTTGCAATCAACCCTTTCTCTCGCGAGTCCGAGCGGTGTCACAAGTAATTTTGAATTTCTGAATTTGGAATAGTAGTCCAATCAAATTAATTGGCCGCTGTATGCCAACCAGCAGTCATCAAATTAAAAGGCACACTCACAGCTGAGCCTGGACAATCTTTGCCAAAGCCTCAGAGAAGCCAACCGTGTACATCTGAGATTCAACCAGCATCCCCTTCTTCCCAGTAAATCCATTGTTTTCATTCCTTGTGGTCAGAGACTCTGACATAGAAGGCTTGTCTCGTCTCATACCTTGCAAGTCCAGACTTGAAGTCAGTATCAACGGCTTGCAGGTGACACCTCCAAAAGCTCCCAAGTAGGTGTGAGTTTGGCGTAGGTTGAAAAATTTGATCACACTGGAAATCCAGGTTGTGCTCATCATTGAACTCGAACTCGGTTGCTCTAGGCCAACATGGTGCCCAAGTGCCAAGGCAATTGCCATGAGCATCGAATGAAGGATCATAAGTGAATTTCCTGTTCTCACAAATTCCCTCGATGTGTCCCCCATGAAGTTGTTGGCCTCATTCCGACAGGATTTGGAAACACTCAAGCAAACAAAGCTGCTGCATTCTGGCGCAAACCACAAGAAAGATCCAGCACCACAGCAACAAAGACATAGGAGCCACAATTGTAGCCCTTCGGAGGTGAGCACATTGTGATTTGACGAATATTCGTCAAGAGATGCCACTTTGAACTTTCTTCTGATGAATGCCCTGGACAAATTTCCATAGCCAGCACTGTACTCAATCATGCTTCGGAGTTGGGATGCTTTGGACTCCATATTGGAAATCGCTAGTTCACAAATGATGGACAACTGTGCCAGAATCGGCTTGCCAAACAGGAGGTCTCTCATCCCCATGCCCAATACTTGAGGCCAAATACTCGCGGCAGATCCACCCATGCCCTTGTCATAGTCCAGGTAGTCTCTCAATGCACCAACCACTTTTTCAAGACGGCTTTGGGAGGCAGGGGTCGTGCACCTGAAACAGGGAGCCATTGAGCCAACACATGACATGTGACACTTTGTGTTTTGTCCCACAATTTCCCTGCCTTCTGAAAGTGGCCAGGGGCCCAAAAAAGGACACGTCAATGTGGGAAGCATCATGAAAGCACTTCTCAACTTCCATCTCTGCCTCATCCAGTGCCAGATTTGGGACAACGGAAGCTTCCACGATATCCACCTCAGCCTCCGCTGTAGTTGGGTCAGTGGCTTCCGGTCGACTCAAATCAGCAGCAGCCATTCTTCCCTTCTTATCTCTCTTCTTCTTCTTCTCAAAGCTTCTGGTAGGCATCATACTGGACATTGACATAAGTGCCAGCCATGGCAAGATGGGTGTCTTCACCATGAGCGCAAAGATAGGCAGCTTCTTTCACTATATTATAGCTGAAAATGTCACACTGTACGAACCAAATCAACATCTACTTAGGAACATCAATGTTTCACACCTACTCAAGTAAACTGAAAAGAACATCTATCAATGTGCCATTTTAACTTCACAAATGTCAAAGTCAGACAGCAGAACTTTTCCACTCACCTTCGACGCCGGTTGTAGTCTGTGGGAGGAGCCATTCCCTCCATGACAGGCTGGAGTTCTCTCAGAACAGCGTCTGGGATTTCTCCAGGAGTTTGATGGTGCTGGCCAGGTTTCAGCGCAAGCTGATCAGAGACAAGGTCATATTTCTCCCAACAGTACTTGTGTACTGCCTCCAAACAGCCCTTCCAATCTTTGGTGGAAGCAAAACATCGCGAGAAGGTTTTGCAATGATATGGAGGTAAAAATCTATCTGACTGATGCTTGCACTCCAGCTTGAATCGCCAATCATTGAACTGCAGAAAGAATTTGAAACGGTCATTGGGTTCCAACTCTAGCAGGACTGGTGGGGTGACATTTTCTCTCGTCCAGCCACTAGCAGACGCCCTGCTTGAACTTGGCCGCTCTGGAGGACAAGGAGGTTCAGCTGCAGCAGCATTGAGAGGAGCACCAGGATTTTCCACTAAATTGGGGTGGGGGCTTTCCACTTCAACATGTGGTAAGTCAGCAGGCGGTAAGGCAGCAGCAGGCTCAGGTGGTGGGCTTTCAGGTGGCGGTGGAGGAGGAGGCCCTTCTGGATCAGGTTGAGAAGTCTCACTTGCATTCTGCCCAGGGGCCTCAGGAATTGGAGGCAGCCTTTCTTCCTCGACATGAGCTGGGTCCAGAACACGCATCTCCACATCAACAGACTGTGGGGCCTCCTCATTGTGTTGCATTTCAGGACCAGCAGGTTCACCTTGATCAGCGGAGGCATCCAAGCCAGCATCATCAATGGCACTGGAACCGCCACCAGAATCATGGCTGTCATCGTCTTTCAGCTCATCATCAAGCTCAGACTTCTTCCTTTTTTGGGGACTCTTGCCACTTGATTTTGCCTTTCCCTTCGTTCTGCCTTTGGGCTTAGGCTTAGGCTTTGCCTTAGCCTTGGGCTTCCTGCCACCCTTCTTCTTAGTCTCACCATTTTTCTCGCTCAACCACTGCTGCCACTTCCACTGTTTGTTCCGGGTCTTTGACTGATCCATTTTCTGTTTCAACTCACGGTATTCCGTTCTTTCCTCAAGGTCTAATTGTTCATAAAGACATTCAACCAAGTTGGCGTCACCTTCTGAAACTGTTTGAGTGCTCTTCTTCTTATCAGCTTCCAGGACAGATGAGACATAGTCTGAATCTCCTTGAGTTTCTGCCAATCTTTCTAGAAGTGACTTCCGGTTGGGCTTCTCAGACCCTGTGCAGACACCCATGTGCTGTCCAAGAATGAGCAAACTGTTGTAGATGAAGGCTGAAGGCTTATACGCCAAGGCATATTTCAATATTGGCATGGAATCATCTGTTTGCAAGACACACAGGCCAAAACGTTCCTTGTGCCAAGCCCAAACTGATGGCACAGCTACAAAGTCATCCAAGTTGTACACATGTAGCCATGTAGCCTGTCCATGTATATCCATCTCAAAGTGGCCCGAGTCCAAACGTCGAAGCGGCCACACCATGGTGCTCCACATGTGCTCCTTCAACACCAGCCATGCATCGCCATCCTGCTCATCATTGGCAAATTGGACCACCATGCCCTTGAGGCACACCAGATTCAGCAATCCAGCCTGTCAAAACAATATGATAGACAAGTCTCATTTCTCAAATTGATTAATATATTGGTATTATTTTCAAAGACACAGTTAATATTGATTGGTTAATCAATGTTGCCTGCAATTCGATGTTTG